AACAGTTCCCAGTAGAACACTGAAGTCAAGCTTCACTGACTGTGGTCAATAAGCGGGTGGGTGACCACTTTGATCAGTCTGCGTAGGGACCGAGGGTGAGCTGTATCGGTCCTCGTTAAACTTTTCTACCGTATAGTGCTCAAGATCGCGTGCAGGTCACCGGCTCCCAAAGCAGGGGAGCCATCCCCTCTCCAGAAGATCGAAATTGCCATGCCATGTCCTCGAATCATCCTCAGGGATGTTTCCCAGACCGTCGCCAATAGTCCATTGTGCAGCTCTAGTGCGACGTAAATAAAATACCAACCTATCTTTACATGCGAGCTCGAATGAAAATAAAATGATTTCCATTTTAGTCAGCTTTATACATAGATGTAGTCTCCTAATTCATGTATTTATTTTAGTCTCTTTAATTTCCTTAACTGTCAGTTTGTTTATGCCGTAAACTGGTCAAATTTTTGTATGGGGATAAAATTTTAATTAATTTTGACGTTAGACATAGAGAATAAGTTAAAATTTGAACATTGTTTGGGGCTTGCTCTTTATTTTGGTAGACGATAAATTTTATTCGTCGAGGGATATATTAGTCAGAAAACAATAGTAATGGTCAGAAAACTATTGAAATATTTATTGTCGGCCAGCGCAGTGTTCCAATACAACTTTGGACACTCCAATTAAAGCGCAAATTCAGATTGATACATTCTTGGGATAAAATTTGAAGAAAACAAATTGCCTGTAGCGATCAAAAGATACAATGGAAACTTTTATCGACATCCACACACAGAATTCCAGAAGAGATTTAAGCTCTCTAATAAACCTAGCATTAGTCGGAATTTTGATTAATAAAATTTCATGCAGTGATGAAATGATGATTGTTTTATACTTGCGATTATCTTTATCCAAATGTAAAAATTAGTATATTTTGTTTTGTTATAATTTTTTTGATTTATGGCATTATTGTCCCCTGTATTTGTTTACAGCTCTTTTTGCTTCAATACGATGTATTATTATCATGACATAAAGTACTATTATATTAATTAGAGTATAAAGTGAAGCCCTTAGCGAGTATCCTTCATAGTTTATTAATTAGTTATAACTTTCAGCATTTGTAAATAGATAATTTATTATTTATTTGTTTTTCAGGGCAATGATATCAGAAAGAAAGAAAATTTATGGATTTCGTACAGTTTTGATTTGATGCTTTTTTATGTTGTTCTTGTGTTGTAATAAAGTATATATTTTTTAAAAAAATAATTTTTTGTTCAATGTATTTTAAAATACATTGTTAGGAAAAAAATTGAATGTTCCCATTTCCAAATAAAAACAAACTTTTAACCCTTTATTTACGAATTATTAATAAAAATATCAAAAATGTGTAACAGTTTGAAGAATAATTTCTTTTTCAAAAATCAATATTTTTAACTTTTTTAAATTAACTATTAACACATTTTTAAAAGAATTAATGCGCAAAATACACTGTTAAAATTTATTTTAAGTATTATTAAAAAATTTAAAGTATTTTTTATTATTATTTAACTATTGCATAAAAATCTCGTTTTCTAAAATTTCATTTATAGTATTTCGTAATCACCGCTCTTAATAGAAACTTATAAAAATTGTGCATTACACATTATTGGTAGCAAAATGAAAGAAACTAAGACGGTATCGTAATCGGTTTCAAAACTGCAGAGTTGAGCGGAGGGAAAAATATTAAAACCAGTTTGATTGCCTTATGAAGTTGAGAGATATTTAGTTAGAATCAAAATCAAAATAAATTAATTTAGATCAGAAAAATTCAGAAATACTCACATTTTTCACACACAGAAAAAATTTCTGGTTAAATTACCGTTCTGCTTTTCTGGTAAGAAAAGCCATAATTCTGGTTCAATAAAATCGAAGTAGGCTGTATTTAAACCATTCAATTGTTAATTTTACAGTTTATGTGGTAACGGTTGACCGGTAATTCAAAATTTCAAAATTATAATTCTCATTACGATACGGTTAGTAAAGCATACAAAGCTGAAAAGACTGAAACTGAATGCAATGTTCAAATGCGATGCTCTGAGGTATCAAGATAAAATTATCAAATTTTTCAACACTTTCCAAATTTATCACATATTATAAATTCATATTTTATTGTTAATCTTTGCCAAAATTCGAAATGCACGTCGTTAATAATTACCGAGCTTTTTAGTGTTACTATAGAACTAGAAATACGGTAAATTTTACCATATTCTCTGGTAGTTTTGGTCACACTTTTTTCTCCGTCTATTTATGAAAACAAACTACAAGTTTAATGACTTTTAAAAACAATTGTATTTAAATAAACCTAAAACTAAATTAATAAAATTGAAGTATGTACATTAAATAGCATATTATTTAATGAAGAACTAATGAAAAGGGATAATTTCAATCCTAATTTACTCTTTTTCTTATATTTTAGTCAATAAATAATAATTTTCATGAAATACTCTCCCACTATTACTTTGGATAAAATTTTTAATGACAATGAAATCTGACTTTAAAAATATCACAACCTTAAAAAGATATTTTGAAATTATTATGAGCAAAAATAAAATAATCCCCGCAAATTAAGAGCTTTATTATAAAAAATTCACTTGATTTAAATCAATGATTTCCTTTCCAAAATATCGAGAGATTTAAAACTAATTTAAATCATGTCAACTCTGTTAAATACATAAAGGTATTTTAGAAAGCTAATCAAAAGTAATTTCGCAAAAAGTCAGTAATCCAATTTTTGAAAAAATTTGTTTTGTATTAAAAGCAAACGGTTCTACAAATAAATAGCTAGTGTTAGAATCGTCCAACGCAATGAAAATTCAATACAATATTCAATACAATATTCAATTTGCATCATGACAGAAAATTAGCAACAATTTGAGTAATATTTTTTATTCGAAAATAACCCCGGAATTAAATGATCTGGAGAAATCTATGGCTAAGCACCAAAACAATAATATTTCTCTATTGAAATTAAGATTCTTTAAGAGGAATAATTGTTCTAATATGAAAAAGATATACTGAAAAAAAATTCTGATTAAATTACTGTAAAAAATACCGACACTTAGAGTACCGGTACAGCTATTTTCGTCCTTTTTTCTCTTTTTTTAACAACTGTCAACTGCCTTCACACCTTTAGAACAAACTGTCACAATTTCATAAACAAGTGCGAAATAATTTGCAAAATTTACCGTGTTTCTGGCTCTATGGAAGCATCAAAAAGCTTAGTAATTTTTTCCGAAGCACTTTGGTAATGGCCTTTGGTAAAATTAACAATAAAATGTAATGTTTCTGAGTATGGATCCATGCTGTTTGGTAGTAAATGTGATAAATTTATCATAATACGTTAGAGAATGTCATAAAAAGTATTCATTCTGTTGAATTTACTTTTCAGTTTCGTATTTTCATTAAATGCGTGGTAATAAGAAATATAATATGGAAAACAGGGATTTTCGTAAACCGTTACCATAACAACTAGAAAAAAATAATAAAAAAAATAGTTAAATACCGTATGTCTAGGTTTAATTAACAAAATCGAGTTAGTGCTGTAATTTAGCCATAGCTATTTTATCTACGTATATTAAGTAGAAAATTATATTAAGAAACTAATTGTATATACAGGAAGTTAATATTTTTGTGAACTTCTATTTCATAATTTTGGTGCAGAAAAAGGCATTTGATTGCATCTTTAGACAACTCGCAAGAAAAACATGTTTTAAAATATAGGGCTCTATTTATTGGGAATTTGAAATATTTTTTATTTATTAAATATAAAACTGAAAAACGTAGACCCTTGAGAGAAAAATTATTAATCGAGTCGATTGCCACTAATAAATAATCTATCTTAATGGAAAGTGTATTTCTAATTCCATATGCCTTTTTTTTTAAATTATAACTGTTCATTTATAAGCTCTAAGAAACTACATTTTTTCGAACTTCAAAGAATTTAAATTTTAAAAGAATCTAAAGAAATTATTTTTAACTCAAATGTACTGATTAAAATAGTTTAGTTCATGTGGTTTAAACTCTTATTTTATTGAACATATTACAATATTTTCTTATCGTGAAGCGAAACAAATAATTTGAAGAAGAAGAAATAACATAAACTTATGAGAAATATAACAATAATTTATTAAATATTTTTTACATTTTTACAGGTTTTTACAATCATTGCATTTTTAAACAGCAAAAAATTTTCTTTGTAGGAGCCTAATTATGTCTTATTGCTTTCGAATTGGTCAAGGAGATAAGATTCTGTTTCGAAACAATTGTTTTTCCAGGAAATAACTCAGGTGCAGTCTTGTGATAACTCAGTTTATTCTGAAATAAAAAGCAGCAATAAAATAAAAAGTAATCGTAAAATAAACCATAGTTAAAAATAAGTAACATTATGGTATAAATAGCATAGAAACTAGAAAATGTCTTTGTCAATAGAACAATGCAGTTGTCAATAGAACAAGATTGAAAGAGCCTAAGCTATAAAACATTTTATACTAAGTACTATGTTAAGGAAAAGTATCTGCATATAGTATTTATATCACACTGCTTTTCAAAATAATAGGCACCATAGGCACCATAATAGGCACCATAATAGGCACCCTTAATATATATTTTTATAATCCTTGCCAGTAATGAAATCAAAAAATAAATACATCAAAACGCTTTAAACAGATCAAAAAACTTTTTCAGAGAACTAATGAATCATAAAGAAAGGAAATGAGATTAAATACTTAAAAATCTGTTTGATTGCCTGTTGAAAGGTGATTTTTTATCTGCATCTTCAAATTTTATCTGCAACCAAACTGTTTTTGATCTTTTTAATTCCACCTATTACAATAGTTATTCTTTAGATTTTGATATCATTTTTCTTTTTTATCGCTTAAATTTTAATTGGCGACCATTGCATATTTTTTTTCATCTTAATAAAGATCTATTTAACATTCAAATAAGATTGTCAATAAATTATCAAATTTATCACTTACAATACTCTTAATAATAGCCATATCCTCCATAACCGTTACCGGGATAACCATAGGATCCATATCCATATCCGTAGCCAGGATAGCCATAGCCTCCATATCCATAACCGAGACCGTAGGAGCCTAGTCCATATCCTCCATATCCAGATCCAAGACCGTAAGAGCCAAGGCCATAACCACCATATCCTAGGCCATAACCACCATATCCTAGTCCATAACCACCATATCCGAGTCCATAACTATCGCCAAGTCCATAACTACCGCCAAGTCCATAACCACCGCCAAGTCCATAACCACCGTAACTGAGTCCAAGACCTCCATATCCGGCACCGTAGATTCCTGAACCTATACCATATCCATGATCTTTAACAAAATAACGTCTGCTAACACCATGACCACCATGGGGTCCACCATGGTGAATTACATCTTCTCCATGCACGAAAGCAATGGTTGATAAAGCAACAAAAAGAAATACCTAAAATATAAAAAAAAAAATAACAGGCAAAATTAAAATTTTAGAAAGTGAATAAATAAGAAAAATAAATAAATATGAAAAATAAACAAATATAAAAAAATAAATAAATAGATAGACCGGCAAAAATTTCATTTTGAAATACATCACATTATTTATATTCATATTTGATGTAGTTTCCAAATAACTACAACGTAAACAAAAGTTATTTTCCAAGCAGAATTCAATTTTGATATTGAACTCAAATAAATTAATAGCTCCTGAGAATCCAGCTAGCGATTTTCCAATCCAGCAGAGTTTAACAACCTGCTCTTCTGTTCTGCATTTTCTTAAATAAAATAAAAACTTTTCTTGACTTTTATTCTATTTCCGGTTACAAATTCTAAAAGAAATGAAATCTTGCATAATAAATGCCACTCACTACAACCTAGAGAAAAATCTCCAAAAAGAAAAACGAGTCATTTAAGCTCGCGGGATTGCAAATTAGCACTCCGGTGCAAATTAGAATCCGTTCAGCACGGCAGCGGACGCGCTGCAGATTATTTACAGCTTTTGCAGATTATTTTTCCTCTACGTTTACATTTTCTTTTTAAAAAGCAAGCAAACAAATAGGAGAAAATATCTAAAATACTTTTAAAAACATTTCTAAGCTTGTTTCTAATCAAAATTAAAATGCTGAATTGAAAGAACATCTCGAAAGCGCCAAAAGTAAAGATTATTTTTTATGTTATTTGCTTACAAGTCCAACTATACAAGGATTTATTCCATTTTTTTAACATGATTGTATAAAATTAAACTTACATTTAAACATTATAAAGTAGTGTATAATTTGAAAGAACCTTATGTTTACTTTTTTTGCTACATGATTAAGCTGAATTTTTATAATAATAATAAAAAGTATTATAAATCACTCCTTTTCCACAGGAGCCATTTAAACATCAAAGTAATCTTTAATATTGTTTCCTGATGGGTACTTTATTGAGTTTCACTTGATAACAGCTGAATATATATAAACATGCTATTTCCGAAAAGGAAATCATGTTAGTGCTCTCTAAAGACATATGACTTAGAGCATTATAATGAGATTTATCATAATAATATAAATATAATGCTCCAAATCTTCTGATTGCATTTATTTTATTTTTATAGCCATCGTTTAACAGCATACCCAATTTTTGGGTTTAGGACTACTAATGTTCAACTTCGTAGACTTGCTATTTTGAACCCAATCCAGACGACAAGGAAATTCTTGGATCAAGTATTAGGAGATATTTCCCTTCGTGGAGTATTTTTTGATGGAACTAACCCGCATTTGAGTTACATGGAGATGAAAACCACGAAAATCCCCTAGTTTAACTTGACGGAAAAGGGACTCTAACCCATAATCCCCCTACCACTGAGGATATTTCACGTCAGCACTGTGGTCGATGCAAGACGGATGCGGAATTCGTGTCGACCAGCTATCGCTGGGATTCGAACCTAGTTCGTCTCATTGGAGGACGAAAGCTCTATTCCCTGGTCCATCACGGCTCCTCTTCTTTACATAGCGAAAACATCAACACCAACAAATAAAAATTTGATACTTTCTGCCAATTAAAATTTTAAAAGAATTAATTGCTCAAAATGTGCCGCAAAAATACCTTTTTAGAATTATGATCATTTTATGAGACATTTTAGATGAAAAAGATGCTATACGTAAAGAGGCTTAATACATTTGATAAACAATCATTATTCTACATTCGTTACCAGTCATTGCACTGTAAAAAATTCCAAATCAAATTACAATCTAAATTACTGGCTCTTTAGGAGCATCATCCTCAAAATCTATTTTGCCGTAAAATATTATACCGTAATTAATTTAATTAGTGTGATTCAGTAATTTTATGATAACTATTACTGTTAAAAATATAATGGAACAAAAATATTAGCTTATAAGTTCATAAACATTAGTTCATAAGTTTACAAATATAAATTGTTTGGGAACAAAAATATTAGAATTTTTGTTCCAAAACATGTTCCGGTAAATCGGGATCTTACTGTAAAAATTTCCGACACCCTGAATGCGGTACTTTTTACTGTAATTTGATGCGAAATGTTTCGCAGTTTAGATACTCTACTTTGAAAAGAGTTTGAAAAAACTTTGAAAATCAAAAGATAGAAAATTCATTGAGGCTCTTTGTTTTCAATTTTATTTAGTTTATAAATAATTCAGAAATAAAAGTAGTCAGAAATCCTACGAGTAAATATTTTTCTCACGAAACAAAATTTATTATTTTTCACTATTTTGCTTTAAACAAATTTACGTTTACTTTAATAATAACTCTGAAGCTGCAATGCTTTGCTTTATTGTTTATGTTTACATCATTTATGTATCTTAAAAATTGAAGAAAAGAACCAAGAAATTCTGACAAATTATTTTAAATGATCATATTTAAAAATACATATTGAATATAGGGTAATTTTTTTACCTAGTATTAAGAAAAGTTCAATTTTTTACTTCCTATCATACAATGCATACATTTTTACTATGCAAACTATACAAGATATAAGAACACAAATACTTACTAATGATTTGATCATTTTAGAGCTCGTTGTATTTTCAGTTAAGAACGATAATTGACCACAAAACTTCAAAGTCTTTTATAATAAAAAGTTACAATGCTTCAGTGAATTTAGGGTGACAAATCTTCGTCATAATTGCGGTCAAGCGAAAACAAAAAAGGAATTTTAAAGAGAAAGTAATAACACTTCACGCCTTGTTTGTTTTCTTCTGATTTTAATGTCAATGTCAAAGTATAGATTCAGAATAGAATTGATTATCCAAAGCTTTTCGTCATCAATTAATTATGAAATACAGATAATGATTTTTAAATTTCAATATTATTAATTAAATGAATTTTAATACTTTAAAATTAATTTAGATACTCTATCAAGAAGAATATCAATTTGATAATATTTATTTCATTTCAAAAATTATTTCAAAATTATTTATTTTGTAAATATGTTTATAAAACAAATCCGATTTTCTTTAAATTGACATGAATAAAATTCAATTATAAGAAAAATAAAATAAAAACGAAAAATATTTACATTAAGACACTGATTGCACCTGATTAAACTGTTTGACTGACAGTTAAAAAAATTTTTGTTATTTAATGAGTTAAACAAATTAGTTTTCCCTTTTCACTTTTTCTAAGTTACTTTTTCGGAATTATAAATAATATTTAAAAATTAGACATCAACAAAAAAAAAAAAAATAATTCTAAAATAATCTTTAAAATTCATAAAAAATAAAAATAAAATTTATAAACAATCTATGTCCGTTGTTTTATTAATAAATAAACACAATATTTTTTTTTCTTCTAAATATTGACATTTTTCCTTATCACAAATGCAAATAAGTAAAAAAGTAAAATATAAAAATTAAGATAATAGATATAAATAGTAAAACTACTTTTGTAGCTCCCCCCCTCCTGAAATTAATTAACTTTTTACTCAAATTTATTTGTCACAAATATAACTCAAAGTCACAACCTTCTGTATACTTATTCATTTTGCTCATTTATTAATTTTGTATTTTTATTTTGTTTCTTTCAGTTAAGTCGCAGATTTTATGTATTTAAATTAATGATTACAATGCCAGCCATATAATAAACTATTGTATGGGTTTTAAAGCAATCAAAGTAATAAACAGGCAAGACCTAGCAACGAAGAGAACAAAATGGAGAAAGGCTTTAGAGAAGACCAGGGCCCACCCAGGCGGTCGTGCTATTGATGATGATAAATATTCTATTGTATTTAACCTTTAACTGAAAATTAACACTCAAATATGACAAAAAGAGTACAAAAATTAACATAAATTTGAATAAAAGTAGGGAAATAGTTACATGCTTGTTTTTATTATTATTAATGCCCTGTTACGGTTGGGTATAGAATAAAAATGAAAAAGTTGCAAAAATGAAAAACAATTTAGAAAAATAAAAACTAAAAAAATTTATGGCCGGGTGAAACATAGTTAGTGGTACATTTGCGAAGTTTGGCTAACCCAGAAAAATAGTAAATTTTCTTCTTCAAAAATACGTTCCAGAAGATAACAAGTATATTCAAAAAAACATACCTTCTTCTTCANGTTCCATGCATCACAATAATACGCAGAAATGAATGCTTGTTTGTTCTTATATTTTATTTTATAACCGTCGTTGAACAGCCGACCCAATTTTTGGAGTTAACGACTACTAATGTTCAACTCCGTAGCCTTGTAATTTTAAATCTAATCCAGAAGACAAGGGAACTCCTGGATCAAGTATTAGGGAATTTCACCTTCGTGGAGGACTTTTTGATGGAACTAACCCGCATTTGTGTCACATGGAGAGGAAGACTACGCGTACCTCCCACGTTTAGCCTGACGGCAAAGCGACTCTAACCAATGATCCGTCAACCACTGAGGATATTTCACGTTATCACTGTGGTCGGTGCAAGCCGGATCCAGATTCGCATCAACCTGCCAACGCTGGGATTCGAACCCGGGTCGCCTCACTGTGAAGGTGAACGCTCTATCCCCTAAGCTCTCTCGGCTGAAAAGGTATGCCAACGGCACGCGGTATTCCCAGGTGGTCACCCTCCCAAGTACTGACCAGGTCCGATGATGCTTTCGGAGGAGAACCGGTATCTTCATCATGGTATGGCCGTTTTTGGAAAAAAAACGACTTTGTTTGTTTTGCAAAAAAAATATTAACAGCCTCAATCTAAACTTTGTATTTTTGCCTTTGGGTGCAAAAATTTAAGATAAAAAGAACCGGCACTCAGAATGCCAGCAATTTTTACAGTAAAATCCGCATTTACCGGAACATGTTACGGAGCAAAATATCTGATATACCGTAATTTCTTCAGTAAAAATCATCGTAAAATCACTTAATCACTCTAATTATGTAAATAATATTACTGTAAAAATTACGTTATAATATTTCACTGTAAAAATCGGATTTTACGGATGGTGCACCCAAAGTGCAGGTACTTTATACCATAATTTGATTCAGAGACATTTATAGTGTGTGCTTTGTAAAATGAGTGCTACTCTTGTGTCAACTTACATGTTTAAAAAAAACTAACATGCTCGATCAAAACGTTTGTTTTCTCTTTCCTTAGTCGCATCTTGTTAGATGACTGTTACTCTTGAGTGAACTTAGACGTTTTTTTTTTTTAAAAAAAAAGCATATTCTCATTTGTATTTTCTTTCTTTAAATATGTGTTGTTCTTAAGTCAACTCAAATTATTAAACAAAAACTTAGAAATATTATCCATTGAAACGTTTGTATTTTCTTTCTTTAAATGTTTGTTGCTTTTGAGTCAACTTAAATGATTAAAAAAAATTTCTCCATTGAAACTTTTATGTTTTCTTTTTTTAGATGCGTCATGTAAGATGACTGTTATTCGTGTGTCAAATAAGATGTTAAAAGAAAGATGTTATAAGATGTTAAGGCATCCTCTAATCAAAACTTGTATTCTTTTTATTTAGATGTGTTTTGTTAGATGTATGTTTCTCTTGTGTCAGTGCAGATGAATAAAAGAAATACCATTAATTGAAACGTTTGTATTTTCTTTCCTCTGATATTTCTTGCAAAATGACTGTTAATTTAACCCCAATTTTGATGTAAAAAAAAACTATAAGTTTGCACAACGCAATTTGAATCATAACAAAGGAAAAGGGTCTAAAATTTTATTATTTGATTCAACCTGCAAAACTTGCTTAAAAACAGTTGAATTTGCAACACTTAGCCTAAGAGAAAATATATTCCAAAATTATGAGCTTATTTCGTTCACGTTAAATTATATGAGTCAAATTCCATTTTTTACTTTTTATAAAACTAAAATTTTAAAACAGCCATAATTTTTCAAATGAACTATTCAAGAGCAATATCAACTGCAATTGAATTAGAAGAGCTTTTTCTTTTTCTATTCTCAATATATATTTAATTTTCCGAATTAACTTTCATACACATACATTTTCAATCATTTGAATAAGGCAGTTTTAATCATTTCTTTATCCTTTACTCTGGTATAATAACATTATACTAATAATCTACTTTGCAGCATCCTTTTCTTATTAATCGGAAATATTCCGCTTTTTAGTATTAGATGCTCATAAATAAACCATTCCCTTATTACATCTTTAAAGAGTTTTAGCTCACAAGTTGCACAAAAAATTTTTTAAGGCTTCTACTTATTTCGTTAAGGTTAAAAGATTGGAAACCTTTAAATAACACTTGAAAAGTCGGATAACCGCTCTCATAATTCGAAATAATAACTGTAAGTGTAGGGTATTTTTGACTTTTCATAATTTGATCCTATTTAAGTGCTTATTTAGTCATTCATGCGTTACACTTATAGAAACGTGCATATAGAACCTTATACCTAGAATAACAGGAGGGGCCAGTGCAGCCCCTCAGGTATTTTGGTTAATATTCCATAACAGCAAGAAGTTTTGGTCATAAGACAACCTTTGGTACATGCAAGGTACTCCAATTTCATTTAAAAAAAGCAAAAGTTTTTCGAAATGTCTATAGTTATTATTCATACAGGAAAGGAAAATCAATTATCTAAGAAACTATTGAATAAGTATAACTGAAAATCCAGTGTTCCGTTTAATCAAATATTTTCGTTAACCAAATCGAATAAAATACCATATAACTCCGATGATCAAGTCTATAGTAACTTTTTATTAAATTAATTATGATTTTATTTTAAGAATTTTGATGTCTAATAGATCGGAAATCGGGGAAAGGCCAAACTGGCCCTTTCAGTCTTTCTAGGTATACAGCAATGTTCAGTCTTTCTAATACTAAAACAACTGTTTTTTCCCCAACATTTTGACCGTATCTTTAGAATAGTCATATCAGCTAAATCAAAATGTCTGGACAATTCAATTCTTGCAATTAAACAAGGATTCCAAAAATTTCATATAACATACATTTACATTCAAACTCGCATATCAAAAGAATCTTATATTTAAGGCAAAAATAATAAAAGATTAAAAGAAACTGTTTTATTGCATGTACAGTGCTCTAAAAAAGAATTGACCACTCTGAATAACTGTTGATCTACTGATCGGATCTTCACGTTCTAGGACTCAATCATAATGGCTCGATGGAGTGTCCTCAAATATTCGAATTAATAAGTGCAGACGGTATTTTAAGTTACGAAATCAGATACAAAAACACTTAATAAACATACCTTTCATTTTGTCGGATTTGGATTTCTGACCTCCAAAATACAGGGGTTAGCCGCAATCTGAGAAATATGGTCCCAATATTTTTCTACATACTGTCCAAAGTTTGGACCCCCTAATGATAATTTAACTTTTTGCTTTCTCATTATCTCGGGAACTTTTCAAGCGAATTAAAAACTTTTTTTCACACAATTATAAAATTTGTTATAATAATCCCATACAAAAAACAACTTTTAGTATATATTTATTATTTTTAATAATTTCATTTATTAATGGTAGAAAAATTTTTTAGTTGTAAGGTATGCAGTATTTTGTATCATTTTGAGGAACGTAATTTTACAAGGCAAAATACAAAATTTGAGCCGAATAGTTCCTGAGTCGGTCGAATAGTTTCTGAGAAATATAATTTTAA